GCCTAACTTAGATACAGGCCCAAAGTACTGTAGCTAGTATTTAATTCAATTCTAAGATTAAACCATGCAATATAGTGTTTGCATTACCATGCAAAATACTGAAATCATTACATTCAGCCGAATGAAGTATAATTCCTATCAATTTCTTTTTTTAGCTTTGGATAGTTAAAACTAGTTTGTCTTGTTTAATTTCTGTCTGTGACCTCACTGGGGAGATTTTACCTCCGTTCTTCTCCCTGTGAAACCAGCACAAGAAATAGAGGCACAGACTGCAATAAAGACAACTTTAGAAGATCTAACTCTTCCCACCTCAACTTAAATGTATTTTGTCTGTGTTCCCATTGTAGAGATTTCCCTTAATTTCCTGTCCAGTCACGTGATGAGAGGGACAATAGGGAAATAAACAACAGTAGAAACTTGACATAGGCTTAAACATTTGGCTGGAGTTGGACTTTATTTAAACCCAAGAACAAAAATGTAATATATTTAAGCTTACCGTTAGTTAAGGTAGCTGCATTAATTTCATTTTTTTAAGCTAAGAAAATACTTGTTGAATTTGCAGGAAATACAGCATTCTCATTGTTGGCTTTCATACTTAATCCACTAATCCTATAATTATCTATGTATATTAGATGAACACAGGCAGATATGTTTAAAATCCAGCCTGGGTGACAACCATGGATCCCTCCATGTGAGCCATGGTTTAATGGCTCTCTCTGTGTGGCCAGTTTAAGAAAGACAAACCCTGAATAAACTGGGTGCATGCAATCTGATCTCCATATAGCCCTCTCACACCTTTACATTGATTGCAATGTTTCTGTTGCAATCCTTTCTCTCTCCTGTGATTGTGTTCCAACTATGTATGATTGCTGATGGCAAGGCTAAAGGAGCCCATACACCTTACGAATATGGGCCGAATTTCATTTACGATCACGTTTTCGTCCGATATTCGTAAGGTTGATGGGCAGTGTACAACCACAAATACTGTACAATGGTACGACTTTTGTCTTTCCAGCAGGTTAGAAAACTTCTGTCGAATCGTACGATTTTCGCAAGGTTGGTGGCGTTTCCGTACATCAAAAGTCGTACAATTAACACTGCTCATGCGCAAACGAAAATCTGTGCAGTCGATTGACGAAATTTGTCCAGGTGATCTCTGCTAAAGACCGCTGATTGAAATGTGCGATGGTCGGGGCAGGATGGGGTGGCCGTCCGAAAATCGTAAGACGTTTCGATCATCGGACGAAAATGTTTGTCCGATGATTGCAAGGTGTATGGGCACCTTTTAGATGGAGTGAGGCCATTGATTCACAGGTGTGAAGATCTGTGTAAAAATAGACTCCAGTAATTGAAACATCTCTGGTTATAATGTCAGCCTTTTGACAATCTCCCAAGAATGTTTTTCTAGTTTGCCTTCACAGACCCTCTAAGTTTGATTTCTAGAAAATCATTCCACGAAAATAGAGAAGTTCAAACAAAGCACACAACTGCATCCTGTTTGTAATGACATTCGTAGTAATAAGAGGTTTTAAAAGCTCTCGGAATACAAACTCGAAACATTCATGTTTTCCTCCCTTTGGCTCAGTAGATTAGCTTCAGTTTGCTAAATACATCTTCTAGAGAGCAAATAAATGACATAATTATGTGTTTGAAGAATGGTCCAATTTAGAAATCTCTTCAATCCTTTTGGCAGCTTGTATGTAAATATTTCAAATAAATCATGTTTTATTTTAGAAATGCGGAATTCACAGTAATAGGCACTACCAATCCTATACTCAATTTTCATTGTCACTCATCGTTCTTCTGTTGTCATAATGTCACTTCATCCTCTACAACTGCCCATGGCAGAGATTGGGTTGTCTACCTAGCTAATGGTTAGGAAATAGAAGATTTAAAGCTTATGTTTTTGTGACCACCTCCCCCTTCTCCCAGGTTTTCCAGTTCCTTCTAAATACACACCACTGTTTTTGATTGTCTAAGGTTCACGGCTTCCTTAAAGCAGATACTGTAAGTTTATTTCTTTTGGCTTAGCTTCACACTAGAATTATTTTCTTATATCCATGCTATTCTTGGTAGAGTCTCAGTGCTCTAGGTCAACCTTTTTCTAATTGATTGCATCTCATTTTGCAGAGTGTCTCTGCCTTATGTCTGACTTTCCCAAGTTTGCTTAGTGGGCTGTTTTTGTCCATTACAGCTTTTAAAGCTGAACTCCTGGCAAACAGCTAAATACACAGACAAAACACATACTGTATATGGGAAAGGTTTTACCAGCCAAAGGATTTGTATTTCTCTTGATCCAGTCCTGAGATTTACACAGCACAGGGCAGGAAACTTTATTTTTATCTACTGCATTTAAAGTGACACTAAATGCAGTCATTAAATCTTAAAAATGCAATCAAGTACCTGAACTATTACCAATACTGTACCTTATTTGTGAATCACTCGGCTGTAGATCCTCAAATCATCTCTGAATTCATACTGACACTGTCCTTCCTTCTGGAGAGTGGCTACTTTTGATCCCCATGGTATATCTGTAGGTTGTAAAGTAGCCACCACTCCAAGCTCACTCCCGTGATGGACTACAATCTAAAAACAAATTAGTAAACTTAATGTTAGAATGTAGTCTATCATAGCAAGCTTTGAGCGGTGGCTACTTTACAACACACACAGGGACCATGGGGAACAAAAGTAGGAAGGACAGTGTCAGCACCAATTCAGAGATAATTTGAGGTTCCACAGCCGAGTGATACACAAATAAGGTACATTTTTGTTAACAGGGTACTTGACTGTAGTAATACTTACAGGTCGTGTTCCTCATCATGCCTGTGACTGGACAGTGAAAGGAGAAGCACCTTTCCATTAATCTGCTTTCTACTAATAGCCGGTCCCTTGTTAGCACATGAGCACTGCAGCACACCTGTTTGGCTTCATGTGCTGATTTTCCCTTTCCCAGTCTAAGCTGTACTGAACAGGGGGGCTGCAAGAGGTGGAGACCAGGTCAAAATAAAGTGCTTACACTAGTTGGATTTAACAAATTGCATTTAAAGATATATGAATGTACACAGAGCTGCATTAATGTAAGTATTTTATTTCTGAGAGTTCAGATTTAAAGCAAGCCTTTTGCTCAGTTCTTTGCTTACAAGTTTGGGAAATGTACCTTCCATAGTGTAACCCACTATGTAGATTGGATGAGTGGTCTAAGGTTGCTTTTTATACATAAATATGGGTTGAGGGGTTTTAATTTAACAACAGGAAGTTAGAGGAAATCCCTGGTGGTCAGCAGGGTCACCAGAACTAGTGTCCCCATTAGAAGATTTCCCATCTATTCCTATGCTGTGGACAACCCAAAATTTGGGATTTTCTTTCACTCTCACAGATAGAGAGGGTGAATCTCACTAATGAGGACAATGAGGAAATTTTGCGTATGTTAGACTATACAGTATCTGTTTGCATTGTATTTTATTCAGGTGAGCTAGAGGTAAACACCTGGTAGTTTTTGACCTTAAATAAGACATTTGCATTTGTTGACATGCCGAAAGATTAGAATAATAAATGCAAATGAGATTCCTGTTTTTATATTAAAGTGGCCCTTACATCAAAATGCAAGGTCTGTTCATTGTTTAGACCCCACACAATGTAAAATACTGCATTCCTCACACAAGAAAATACCTCATACTAGGACAAAAGTTTAAAAATATAATTTGAGCAACTGTTTCTCTTTTATTTATTTCTTTATCCTGCCCTAGATTCTTGTTAGTCCCTATGTGATCTTTGCATGTAATTGATGGTCTATGGGGTCCATGCATCAACATGTCAGCAATAAGACTTGCTGCTATTTCCCACAGCCACCAAGTTCAAACTTTTCAGACTCTACCTGTCATTTTCCAGGACAGGTTTACATCTGATGGGTGGCCATGGGCAAATACACCAGAAATTGCATTTATTTTTTTTATAAAACTGTAAATAGAAAAATCACAAATCTGCTGCACTTCCATCTAATCTGTACTTGTAAACCATATTGTAAAAATTTCTGTTTTATTTGGTTATTTATAACATACAAAAACACAGAGGGCAAAATGTATAAATTGTGAAACATGTATAAACAAGAAACAAAATTACAACAAGTTGCAGTTTGTTCTTACTATTTAAATATCAAATAATCCTACCAGATTCATAGTCAAAAACATTTAGCCTTTGTGTAAAAGGTGCATACTTGGAAAACAACTGGTCAATAGATGAAGATTAGACCTATAGCTATACCAAATACCTATAGATTATCTGCAAATTTTCTATAGTCAGATGGAAAAAGCGCAACAGATTCCTCCATCTACGCTAGACTGTGTGGATGGAGGAATCTCCCGCTGGCCCAAGCTTTAGTATCTTGCTAGTCGGGCTTGCTGGCTCTCAAAATACCTGAACAATGCCTGCATCCAATCAGATTGTTCAGGGGTGTGTCGGTGCTATTCATGTCAATGGCACCGCAGACAAGCCCCCCGCTTACAGTGCTATCGCCTGCGCCGGAGCGCGAGGTACAGGAATGCCCTCTGTTCCAGTGCAATGCAATCTGATAAAATGCTGAATGCACTATTTTTTTCAGATCGCACTGAACTGGAAAGGAGGGCATTACTGTACATTGTGTTCCGGTGCGGGCAGGGTGTGTGTCTGCAGTGCCATATCTGTATTGTGTTAAATAAGGTACATTAAAATATGTTCAATATGATTAGTAGAACATGAATACCCATGTTCCTTTTCACATTTGTCTATTTTTGCCGCTAAGTATTATGTAGCAGATTCAGAATACTCTCTACTGTTATTTTAGTAGAAGTAAAGTAAAATGAGTACAAGATGCTGCTAGCCTAATTTAAAGCAGTCAGAGTTTGGTGTATTACATAAATTGATTAATTATTGGGTGGAAAGCTACATGTTGTTGAGATATTGTTGATTTTGTACCGCATAGTTCAAGAGCGGTTTACTAATGTATTGTCCCTGTGCTCCCATAGGTAAAGGTGATGTGTTCGGAGACGTGTTCTGGAAAGAAACCACTCTTGCTCATGCTTGCGCCAATGTTCGAGCACTGACGTATTGCGATCTACACATCATTAAACGGGAAGCTTTGTTAAAAGTTCTGGACTTCTATACAGCATTTGCTAATTCTTTCTCCAGGAACCTCACGCTGTCCTGTAACTTGAGGAAGCGGGTAAGTATGTCTATACTCTGTATATGATAAGAGGTATAAGGGTCTTACATTTATTGGGTATTTTCCTCCAAGAAGACAAGGAAACATCCTGGGACATTGGATAGTTCCTAGTTTCAAATGCAACCTGATAGTAGTCATATCTAATGACTATTAAGAATGAGGGGAGCAATTCACTTCACTGCCAGATTTGCCTTCGGTAAAACTTCACTAAAGCGAATGCCCTCAATTTCGCTCATTGAGCTTGCTTAGATGAAATTCACTTTAAAAAACGTTTTTGTTTTCCTTGTATATGAAGGATGTGGTATTTGGTGTATGTAGGGTAGCTTATGTTATTTCATTTAATGTTCTTTGCATTCGTTGTGTATTTGATCATTTTTAAAGAACTGTTAATTTAATTGTTTTTATAACAATTTTTCTGTAAAAAATAATGAGGCTAATGAGGGTCCATTTTCTGGCACAGGTCCAGGATAGTTGAAAGGAAAACTAGAGGTGCATCAAAATGAAAATTTAAAAACCGAAATTTAAAAAAAAAAAATGTCAGGCCGAAACTGAAAAAAAAATGTATTCTAACTTTTTCTAATTTTTTTTAAATATTTTATGTATTTTTTTATATAAAGTTTTCATTTTTTTATTTTATTTGTATTTATTTATTCATTTTTAATTAAATATTTTTTTATTCTTTACTTTTGGGGCTTCAGGGAAATATTAGGGGTCTAAACAGACCCCTGAAATTTCCCTTTTAAAATAAAAAAAGAGATTGACTCCGCCCACACACCGCTCTCCTGATCTGTCACAGGAGGCGGAGCGGTGCGGGGAGACGCCAGCTGCTCACAGCGCTCTCCTCCGCACCGCTCGGCATCCAGACTCTAGGTCACAGACCAGAACATTTTCGGAGCTCATATTTCCAACTTTATCTAACAGGTGCCTTGTACCTTGACTTAGTAAGGGAATTACCTGGAACTACCATGCAAGCTGTAAGATCAGAATTCTCAGGCTCTATGCTTGTTTTGGGAAAGTGACTTGCTAAGTTGCAAAGCCATTGGATAAACATGACAGCCAGGGAACTAGCCACTTAAAAATTCAACAATGGCACCTTTCGTATATCTGCCTAAACTGTTTTCTTGCTCCACTTTGTTAAACATCCGGTAAAAAACTACGCCTTCTATCGAATACTCTGGTTATAATTTATCTTGCATGCCTCTGCTTTAAATCCTGCGCAGCTCTAAGGATCGAAGGGGTTAATCTAAACAGATCTTTCACCCTTTTCCATACTTATTATATTTGTTATTAGCGCTTTAGGGTTCCGTGGGTTGGATTTGTGCCTGGACGTAGTGATGCAAGACGTCAATTTCATTTAGCAGAAATCCCAAGGCCATACAACAGTTTTAGTTTAAAGCTGAAAACTCCTACTATATGCAGTAGATCAATCATTCACTCTATCTTCATTTCAGCGTGTTTGAAACTGATTAAAATCTTAAAACCAGCATTTTCTTTGGCCTGGGAATAGGATCATTACACTTGCTTCACGGGAGGCAGTAGGAAGTGAGTTTAATTAATTCTCAGTTTCAAGCCAGAAATTATGTTAAGTTCAAGTAACATAATGCGCTTTGGAGTTTGTGTCATAGGAGACAGGCATTAGACCTGTCATCTTTTCCAGGGCTGATATGATGCATGCCAGGATGGGTGGAACTAATTAGTGACAGAGGTACACATAGGACATAGGAATCTGCACTAATGTCTAACTGACATTTTATGGCAACATTAGGCTGCAAAGGAGAAAGGTAGGTTTCAGTTTTCTTCAGTATGAATATTTTTGTGTACTTTATGTTTTACTTTACTCAAGCCATCCTATTAACTCCCCAATCTAATAAACCCGTCTTCCTTGCTGTAGGCAACGAAGTACGAAGAAATGTTTAAGAATTGTTAGTAATTGCAATCTACACACAGATACTTATAGACAATTGCTGGCTTTTTATTCTTTGCATACCTTGTTTTTCTTTTCATCTCCATTCAACTAATTCTCACAGTGGCCATTTTTACTGAGGGCAGATTATTCCCTCTCCCTTTACTTCCTGCAACTCTGGCACATGTGACTAGGACATGTGACCATGCACATCATCTCAGGGGAGGAAAATTCCTTTCCCTGAGATCTCATGAGATTACAGATGAGATTTCCCAGCAGTGCACTGCTAGCGTAACCTTCCCAGGATGCAACACTTGGGCACATTACATCACTTTTGCTAAAGAGAACCCGGAAGTGGAAAACAAGAAATTGCAAGTAAAATGAAAATATGTTTAAGTAATGAATTTAAGATGATTTCATATCAGCATGCAGATCTGATTTTTAGTCGAAGGGGGTAAAGGTCCACTTTAAACAGGTTATTCACAAGTTGTCACTTAAACAAGGTCACAATTCTAATGTGATGCCATTATCTGTAAATATAATGCCATGGGGATTCTCCCCAAACATATTCCCTTTAATCTTTTTGATAGGGTACTAGCAAATAAGAAACACATGTACACACAACAACAAAAACCCTAAAAAGTAACAATTTATTTAACTTGGCTACAATGGTGGGTTAGAAAAATAGCAGCCTCAGCATCATTTCAGTCCAGTCCTCAGCAGGGTCTGGTGACCTACAACTGTCTCACACAGCAGGCCGCTGAGTTAAATGGCTCACCAATGAGCACCCTAAAAATTAGTACAGTTGAGCTGTTTCCTTACTGCACAAGCCAAAGACAATGCTTGCCAGATGCTTAATATAACTCTGAGATGGGCGGTCAGAGTAGCTGCTGCCTATTTTATTTTTCTATAGTCAATTTAAATTCTATTTCAGGTTGTAGTTCAGTATAAGTATATAGTTTGATATGACAGTTACATTTTAATTTAGTGTCAAAGCAATCTCTATATTTCCCAACCTCTGCTTTTTTTGTAGCTTTCAATCGGCTAATAAACAAAAGTACTTTAATCAGTACAATATTGGGTTATTTTATCTATAGAGAACTGAAGATCAGCCCCAGCTGGTCACTGCAAGTTTTATGTGTGTTCCTCAGAGATGTTAGCTCCTGCCTTGAGACCTAACTTTTCTTCACTGCTGTTATGCGTTACAACTAAAGAACCAGCTGAAATTCATACTGTGGGTGCCACTGTCGGCACCCTTCCAGCCGGCATCCCTCAACCATCTGATTGAAGGAGCCGGTTGGGAAATTCTTAGCTGAACAGAGGCATTCTGAAAGTGGCCACCTGCCACTGAAAAAAATAAAACCATGTATACCCCACTTAAAGTGGACCTTTAACTCCCTTTACTAGAAATCACATCAGCATGGAGCTTTGCATGCTTATTTAAAATCGTCTTCCTTATATTAAACTTTTTTTATTTACTTACAAATAGAGTTCATCTACTTCCTGGTCCAGTTCTGGCACAAATGATGTATGTGCCAAAGCGTTGCATCCTAGGAAGGTTACATCAGCAGAGTATTGCTGGGAAATCTCATCTGTAATCTCACGAGATCCCAGTGAAAGTAAAATAAAATATATTTTCATTACCAAAGGCTGTAGACTAAGGTGACTGGAGACAATAGACAAAACATTAAGTACTTCAGCTTTTGGGTAAATTAATTTTTGCTTCTACATATAATTTTGCAACAGCTAATCCACGCTAAATGGAAACCAATTAGTTAAGTGTCAAAATTTTATATATAAAGTCCGCTGCCGTGCCAACTATGTAGTGACATTTTTAAAACAATGTTAAGTTTGGGTATAAAAATTGTTTTGAGGTGCTCTGAACTGTACTTATGGCATATAAAATACAGAGTATCTGTGTAATATCCATTAACGGTTTTGCTGCAGTCAACAAAAGTGCCTATTTCAGTTCGTTGGAGGAATTTGTATCAAATAAATCAGAGTCTGTGAATGGACAGAGAAATAGTGACATTTCTGCAGAGCTGGGCTAGCTGGTAACTGTAATTGATTTTGTTTCTAGTCTAGTTCAGTTATTACGCTTACAATTTTCAGGACATGTTCTCACTTTCCTGCTCAAGTAGTTTTTTGTTTTTTTTCTCCTCGTTCAAAAGACATTTAGTTACTCTCTTGGTTCTGGTTCAGCAAACATGAAAAGGCAAAAGAAAGAAATGCTTAAAAACTAAGCATCCTTTGGCTGCTGCTTTTGGGATCCAAAATACTTTTTTTCGCGCTACTGCACCTAATGACATGATCCGTGTTTCAAAACAGATGTTCAAATTGTTATGGATCTAAAAGAACTAAAGCAAAGTAACAACTTAAAAAGGCCAATGAATACAAAATGACAAAATATTCATCAATAGATTTGTTTGAGTTCTTAGTAGCATTCATGGGTGAAACAGAACAGTTTGGGGAGATGATTATAATTGGAGATGATATAAGCCCAATTAATTGCCCAATTGTACCATTATAGTTTGGGCAAAGTCAGGGAGCATAAAAAGTTTTTTCTGGGTGTGTGTGTGTGTGTGTGCGTGGGTTTGCCGCCAAGGCTTTTTTGTTGAAACATCTGTCAGCGGTATCGTATGAGGTTCACAGCAGCAGCCACCATAACGTGCAATTATGGGAATACACTGCAGTTTCCAGCCTTCTCCTGCAGCGTGCAAACAGCTCTCTGTACAATGTCCCTGTCTTCCTATTTTCATACAGTCGTCAATGATCTGGGATCAGATTCTTGACAACCTGAAGAAATGTTGTGTCAGGCATTTCAGTCAAGGAAAAATCCTTAGTCCGCCTCAGGTCTGTCAAGAATGTTCCTTACAATATTTCCCATCTACTTAAAAATTATGTATTCTTAAGAAATTGTTGGAGGCGGATATGGGATGATGAATTCCTTTGCAGATATGGTTTTGGTTAAATTGGAAAAAAGAAATGTCCATCATTTGACCCTCTTATATAAAAAATAAAAAGATAATATGTATTCTATCAACTTGAGCAACCTTTTCTAAAGAAATTAGTTCTATACTGTTGATGCCAACCAAAT